TAACCCATGGAGAGCAGGAGGGGAAAATGTGGAGGGAACAAAGGGGCAATATAGGCTGCTGCCTACCTCTTGGGGAAGAAGACATATAACATTAATGGTATCCGTTAACATCTCCTTAACCCCAATCCCCCTTGCTTGCCGAGCACCTCCCATTCCCTTCTTTTCCCCCTGCAGCCAACCGCAACCCACTCACAACCCCACCATGGTCCCCTCTACCTCCACCCCCCCCCCAGGCTCTGCTCCCTGGGGGCCTGTTTGTTTCCCTGCCAGGGGCACAGGCGGCGGAACACTGATGAGGTGCTCAGGCCACCGTGAAATGTGCCATAACCTGCCAGCGCAGGGGCCTGGTGAGATTGCCGTATTTACTTTTTAATCTGGCCGCCTTAATACATGCGATAAAAACTTTGTCACATTAGATGGTGACAGATGGGCCCGGAGATGTTATTACTGGTCGGGGGAGGCAGAGGGGAGATGGTGTTGGGAGGAGCGGGTGTGGGCTGGGAGCGCAGGGCGGCGGGGTGGAGGAGAGGGAGAGAGGCAATGCCCCCAATCACGATAATTTTTCATCACCCCAATTACATTGTTGAGTGCGTCTCGGCGGTGGCATGTGCACACCCAGCCCTGGTGCTGGGTAAAGAGCGAGGCAGGGAGACATAAATAAAGATAAAATGAGGTGCCCTAGGTCTTCTATCCCGCTGACTACTCCTCTGCCATCTCTCCAAACTGATGGAGGCCCCGTTTAAATGAAGGGTAAATCTTATTTAGATAAGAGAACTGAACTGCTGCCCGGGAACGAGAGCATCATTGTTTGTTACTGATGGTTGGAGAGGTGGAGGGGAGGAGGCAGGGGGAGGAGGGGAGAGGGGCTGGTCTTTGCATGTTCTTATGCTATAAGAGAGATTGAATGTTGTTTGTGTGTTTGCAGGCAACTACACACAGAGAATATCTGTCACTATACAGATAGACAGGTATGGTTTGTGCATGCAAGTCCCCTGGTAATAAAATCACATCGTAGTATATCCATCCTTATGTCGTTTCCTATCGTGCAGCTCTTTGATCGTGTATTGCATGAAAAACAATATCAAACTATATCTGTTGTTTATGGCTTTTCTTGATAGCTGAACATCACAATGTGTGTGTTTGTGTTTGTTGCACAAACATTTAGTTTGAGCCATTGAACACACAGCACTCAGCTGCCTCGAGCAGCACAAGTTTAGCAATTGTTTTCCTTTTTTTAATTGCAGTGGAAATGAAATAAGAGTGTTTGTGACATGAGTGCTGCAGGTAATGAGAGCCTGAGAGCAGCTGGGAGGCTACGGGTCTGCGTGCGCATCATTAGGAGCTCAGAGGCTCCCAGGCTCCACGCTAGCGTAAGCCACTAATGAAAAGAATGTAGTCACAGATCTCATTTTTCAGGCAATTCTTGTGTAAACTGGAGATTTTCCAGTGTATGCACAGTGGAACAGGGGGCCCCACATAAATCACACAGGCTGGCTGCCTCCAGTAAAGAAAGAGGGGGTTTGAAGCACATGCTAACCACGCAGACATATGCTGCAGGAAACTGGAAATCTGCAGTGGCACAGCCAGAGAGGCAGCCACTCACAGCACCTACACCTGTCTACACCCCCACCCACTTCTCCCCATCTCTTCTAGCTCTCTATCCATCTCCACTGTGCTGTCCAACAGCCCAACCCCCACCCTCCCCCACTCTAACATCCCCCTCCTACCCGCAGGCAAACCAACCAGCAACGCCTGCATGCAAGCCATTGAAATGGGTCATTTTTTAATTAAATACAATATTAATTACTGCGAGCATCATTACCGATATGTGAGATTTGACTAATTAGTGTAATAGTTTTGGAGTCACGCTCATTAAATATGAAAATTACAGCAGTAGAAAAGATTGCTTCCGTGATCAATCTTGTATGGACAGAGAGGAAATGATTTAGAGAATAGCTTTTATTGTACAATTAACTCCATTACAACCTGCCAGACAAGAATAAAGACAGCAGGGAATTTGGTCGGTGTTAAGAGTTTCACACAAGTGCTGCCTTTGGCTGCTGGCTCTCTCTCACTTCAAATGCAATCTTTTACCTGTAACTCGATGAGACACTTGCCAAAGCATACAATACCCTCCAGAGGAGCCGTAGCCTCATCACCCACTCAATTAGGACAGCTGCTAAATGGAAGACTTGTTGATCTCTTCTAGTTGACACCCTCAGAGCTACTTCTACTTTAGTGTGGCAGATTTGCACTAAAAGAAAAGCCGGCCATTGTCATCCGACAACACACAATTATTCTAGTGAATTTGACACATTTTGAGCTTCATCTGAGCTGTTGATGCTCTGGCACTGATTTTCACCATCACTAGAAGATGAGAGCATTGACATTAAAACAGATTAAATTTTCACACTGAGTGTAGAAAAGAGAAAATGTAAGTTTTCCAAAAGCTATTATTCTACAAAATGAAAATGTCCTCATGCTACAAATAGAGTATGGACGGTCTCCAAGGTGGCCAGTGGGCTTCACTGTTGTTTGTGTGTATCCGGGTCTCTCTCCACTGCTCTGGTAAACACATGAAATAGGAACACAGCCAGTGCATAGGAGCTGAACAGAGCTCCTCTATGTCCTCACCATGTGTACGACTAAACACTGAGATAGAAATTGGCCCCTTTGCTGGAGTGCGTTTTGTGTGTTTAGCATATCAAAGCTGTGAAAATAACCATGTTTGCATTGCCTCTTCTCTTTCCAGGTGGTCTATCATATCTGGGCCCTCAGACCGGATGGCACGCACTGTGTGTGTTGATCACTGTGGCATCTGGGTAAGGGGAACACCCCTGGCTGGCATGGCAAGTGTGTTATAGTTTCAACACAAGTGATGGCAGCCATGACAAAGCAAACAAGACGCGAACCTCATTCAAATTATGCTGCTTTTTTTTTTTATACACAAATTGCAATAGAAAATGCCATCAGGTACAGTGCAAAGCATGCCCTTGGAATTATTATAAAAAGTAAATACAAAATAAACTATGTATCTGATCTAATATAATTATTTGATAAATGATGAAAACACTAGATGAATTAGCTTTTCTAATGATTATTAAAAGAATGTATGTAATGCATTGATTCTACTTAATTGTTACCACCTAATTCTAAATAGGTCATATTTTTAAAAGGTATTAAAATAAATGTTTTTTTAATGTAAACGTTTGTAACAATGCACGTTATACACATCACTTCATATCCACCCCGTCATGAAACTCTCCATCGTTTATGACCTTGTGTCGTGAATGTCTTTGTGAACCTCTGCTGGTATACGTATGTACCATAAACATTTCCCCCTCTTTGAATATATGCAATAATCCTATCTCCAGCCACATGAATACCGGCCCTCCATATTATTGTAATGCTAACCTCCAGACTGCATGCCTGATAGCCAATACTTTATCACAGCTTTGCCTTTTTTATGGGTCTGGTGTCTCTTTAAAATGATTGCCCCTGTTTTGATCTGATTAATTTTGTGTGAGCACAAACAATTACTTTTCATCTTTATCTGCTCAAGGAATCACCCCTTTTTATGGGTATCATTTATTACAGGTGGACAGCTACTTGTTTATTAGAATTTCAAGCAGTCTATCGCAGCAGAGATCTCCCGCGGTCTATATTTACATTTCAACTTCAGCTAAACAGGCATGACAAGCACACATAGCAAAGGGCCGGCCGTGGCCACACTTCATTTTCATATTTCCTCTTCGCAGGCCAGACGGACTGGACTTAATGCAAAAGTTCCTGACATGGTGGCAGAAGGTGCTGAGCAGGAGGGAGAAGAGGAGAAGAGAGATGCAGACAGAGAAACTGAGAGAGCGAGGAAGCAAGAGGGAGAAACAGAGAGAAGGGGATGGAGGGAGTAGGTTGACTAAGTATGTGTTTGAGCTTTCAGGTGAGTGTCCATCATTCAGGGAAAGAGGATGGGTTCATGGCCTTTGAAATCCACCCATGGCAAGGGGGTCTTCACAGTGAATATAAATATATGTGTGTGTGCCACGGCCAGGGCCACTCTTGACAAGCCAACAGCTGTTAATTATGAATTGGCCTGCAGAGAGGAAGACAGGCTGGTGAATATGCAGAGCTGAAGGTGCGCGCAGAGCCCATGCAACACAAGTGTCAGACCCCCACTGCACCCGGAGTGGCAGGGGTTGACCTGGGTGTCAATCACTAGCACCGGCCAAGCAACAGGACAGGGATTGCTTGGAATTGACCCAAAAAACTGCAGTTTGACTCGCATGGAAATTAACTTTCTTATTTAATGGTGGCAATCTAAAGTAAACTATAGTCACCTCTTTCTGAAAAACATTGGGATATTGGAAATATATTTTTTTATAAGTATTTAGTCTGAACCAAAGCAGACTAAAATGCTTGAAAATTAACAAAGGCTTACATCCACTGATGAGAAAATCTACTGAAATCTATTGACAGGGCTGGAAAGAGTATGGGAATACTTTACTTGAGTAGAGGTAATGTTGATTTAAAGACTATTGTACACAAATAAAAGTCAAATTATTTAAGTAAACAATTTGGTCAGTATAAATGACAGAGAGTTTCATTAACACTTCATTACACAACATACCGGGGAGCCCTTATATCCAATCCAACGATATATCAGATCATGATATTTGTTTAAATAAATATGCACTTTGCAGCCTGTGCCCATAACTGACCTCTGTGCAGCCTTAAATGCACAAGAAAAAAGAGACTCAATTCAGACAATTAAACAAAAATGCCATAGATAAAGAGTCTATAAACAACGCAACGGGTGCAAAAAGAAAAACCAAGCCACATAAATGAAATAACATTTCTTGGAATCAACATCAGAATAGAACATAATCACCGAACACAACACAGAGTACAAAATATACCCTTCATAGCAGCTGAAGGAAAAAACAAACAAATAACATAACATTCTCCTGTGGGGAGCAAGTGTGTTGTTGTAGCCTACTCACCTGTCTGAAGGAGAGTCTTGTGCACCATGAAGGTTCAACGTATTCAGTTCCCAAAGTGTAAAATATCCAGTCCACTCAGCCTCTCGGTCCTAGTACGCAGTCTCTGTCTCCTAGTGTGTCCCTTAACTTTTTCAAACATGTTGAGCTGAAGTGTCACACACCTCATCACAGGTAAAAGTTCCTCAGTTAAATCAGAAGTCACCGCTGGAGGATCCATCATGAGCACGTTAGCATTTAGCATGTTAACCAGACCACGCACACACCTGTTGGGTGAGTTAGAGTTGTATCACTGGGCTGTGGAATTGTGAATAAGGTAAGTTATACAACATTTGTCTTTCTTTTTTTTATACCAATGAAAAAGTGTAATGTTTAAATAAACATTAACTTTTTTCATTGTTATAAAACATTTATATTGCATCTCTGCAGGCTTACTAGTGCGTACAAACGGCTAGCCCTGCCCCGGCACAGGTGCGTCTTCGTCCCCCACAACCTGTAGCCTTCAGTCAGTGAAGCTAGGCTACTTAGCCGCTTCTCCACCAGCGTGCGGGCACTGCGGGCCTCATGATTTAAAACCGTCTACGTGTTCAGCTATCGCTAGGATATACCGTAGTCCCGCAGTTTGACTACTGCGGACTACTGCGGTGAGTGCGTCGAGTACCCCGACGCACTCACCCATTTCACGGGAGTGGAGAGTCGGAGCCGGAGGCCTCAATATGAGGTACAATGTAGCCTACCAAAGACCGACTGCAGACGTTTCAGAAAAGAACTGCATTGGAATTAACGAATTGGCTTGTTGTTGCTTTTTCTTACCTTCGTTTGGACTGAAGTGTTGGAGCCCTTTACGGCGATGCGGAAAATTATGTTGGATGCTCGGTGCAAGAGAGCAACCCAGAGAAAGACCACCGTTGGCTGAGCAACTGGTAATGTCCCTATAATACAGTTGAAAATAATGACAAAATAAAAGTTTGGGTAATTAGCTTTTACAACTGTAAGAGAGGGGAGCTTATACTAAGATCCTTTGGGCAACTTATGTAAAAGTACTAATAACACAGTGAAATTACTCCACTACAAATACAAGTCCTGAACATCTTTTCTAAGTGTCACCGGAGTTCTGCCCTCCTGCGGCTACAGAAACCACAGCAGCTTAATTTCTGCTGCAGCAGCAGATTTGCTACATGTTATTTTTTTCCAGGGTTTTTAAAAACGCCTATGACTTTTACCCTTGTGAGGATTCGACTCGAAATGTAGGCCTACAGTAGGTGACTGAAGATGGAAAGGTCTCCAGTAACATTTAATGTTTTAAGTAAATAAATACTCAAATTAGGTGTCACAAGAAACATTGTGTTACAGTCACAACAGTAAACGTAGCCTATTTTCAACCTCCACTTTCCACCCCTGTCTGCCATTTAAAGTATAGGTTATTGTTGCTTTGATGCAGACATGTGCCTAATGAAGAGTTATAAAATGACTAAAGATATTTTATGTGTTCTGAATTTGATTAGATTGTAGTGTTAAAAATCATGTAAAGGGAAAACCTTTGTAAATACAAAGTGTTCCAGCACCCTAACCCTTATAACCTAAGTAAAAGGAGTTATTGTCAAAGCTTATTTATCCTCCCTAAAAACCCATATGTCTTCCCCCAGTCACTCAGAGCCCCTGCATGCACACACTAGCCATTCACAGTAGGATCAGGGTTAACAGGGCCTGTGCCTTTAATGACAGGAATATCTCCAGGAATTTTAATTAATTTTCCACTCTTAGCAGCTGAATCTGCGTTAATTTCCCCCTCAAGGACTTTTATAAATTTCATCATTAATAAAATCAGACATTCAATTAGTCCCAAAATCCAGATTGCCAACTGTTTCGTAACAGTCCGGGTCCGATTTTCCCTTTTTTATTAGGTTGGGTGAAAAAAAAGTTAAAACTAATTTCATTAATCTAATTGTCATAACTTCGAACCATCTCTTAATTAGTTCAAATTAATATGATTAATCACAATAATGACAAAAACTCATTCAATTACAGGTTTTTCAATGCCAAGTGGATGTGTTGGGGGTGATAGGGGCATAAAGGATGAGGGCGGGAAGCAGAGCTGGCTGCGAGAGACGGGATTGGTTGTGATTATTCCGATGACTGACAGGTTATCAATCATGCCGCACTTTTAATAACGGCTGCTGGAACTTCAGTGGAAGGCCTGGCTCAGTTGTCTTCTTTCGTGTTTTATTTCTTCAAAATCCTTTGGAACTCTCCTTATTCCTGCATGAAATATGATCCTGCTTTGAACGACTTGAGCTGCACATTTTAATGAAGAGAGTGGTGCGCATAAAAACAAAAATGGACTCATCCATATGTAAATAAAATGGTGGCGGTGCACTTGCTCATCTCCACTACCCCATTATTGCAGAAAATTGCATACGTTTATGCGCTGGAAATGATATCACTTTATTTTCATTTGTCTGAGCATTCGCTAAAGCTGCAGATGAGTCTGCCCCCTCTCTCGTTCCATTCCCTCTCCCGCTCTGCAGACATATGGATCAGTGAGATGCCTGCTGCGTTGCTTTCAATCAGGGCCACCAATCTAACAAAGCAGGGGAGCAGAAGCATGTCACCATTTGTCACATGCCACTGGGGCACAAGCCGAGCAGCAGGCTCACCCTCGGGTGTGTTAGGCCATGAGGGAGTGCTGCAGCTGCCAGTCTCAGGCAGGTTCCCTCTTGTCCCATGCTGTAGCCCTGGGACCAGCCACCCAAATGTCCCCAGTCAGTTGTCTGGGTACGATTTGACCTGCGCTCCACCCATCTGGACTGAAGACTGCATTGAGAGGGCTGCTTAGCTTCCATCACCCTGAGGAAGGAGTCTGATCATCAGAAGGCCCATCTGGGGATAGAGATCCCCCCTGGAGACTCCAAACCTTAGAGTCCTAAAGACGCCCTTTCACTGTACCCCTATTGGCTTTTCATGCCCGCCCGTTCTCTCCTCTATACTTCAAACACCGCTTTGATGCTCCCACTCCAGAGCCGTGGCGCTGAGCAGGAGAATTCACCTGCCACCCCAGGTAAAGTCAACCAAAGCCTGCTGGAGCGTTAAGCAAAGCATAGCATAGATACATATGTTATGTATCTGTGACAGTGCTTATCATGCAGCTCAAGGGCTCCCATCCTTTACCCAATGGTTATATCTCACACAGCATTGGATCCTTGTCCGATGCATATCTTGGCTGACAGCATGGTTGAAAGCCTGGAGCATGACAGACATGTAAAAGTATACATTGTATACCCAAGTGTGCATGCTGCGGCTTTTAAGTTCCTATACTGTGCGGTGGCATGTGTTTACCAGTGCATTGTTTGTGGAGCCAGTGATTAGAGGCTACTGGAAGTGATGCAGAACCAGACAGTGAGCAGTGCCATACGTCCAGGATGCTGTGACCACATGGGGCAGCATATGGAGCCGTTTCCTCTCCCCTCTCCAGGACTTTTTAGACATGTCAGTTGGGCCTTAATCATGCATTTTTCTGCATGAGGGGAGAACTGGAGTATCTGTGCCGAGCTGGCTCCTGTGCCCTGCGGTTCTCAACCAACACAGTCAATCAATAGTGGCCAGCTCCACTGTGTACACAACACAAACATGCACACAAAGGCAGATAGACACAAAGAGTTTACCTCAGTCCCATTTAGGAGCCTGTGCTTATTCTGTCCATTATTCAGGCCAACATGACCGTTTTCTTATTGTCATCATGCTTTTTAATTAGAGGAGAGTGGGAACTGCTGGATGGGGGACTATACCTCAGTAGTTCAGCCTTCCAGGGACTCAGGGACAAAAGGGGCATTTTTCAAGGTCTAAACCCACCCTCCCCTCATATGCACAGCCATCTCTAAGTCCCCAGCCACCCTTGAGAGGGAAGCACAGCCTTCCATGTGCATAAAGTTGAAATAAACTGCAGTCTGTATTTTCATTGGGGAAAGTGAACCCAATTTACACGCTGCTTCATTGGAGATGAGCACTGTAGCGTACCCTAGCTGGTAATCTCGCCCAGATTCCCCCTTTGTGTCCTGCATTATTGTTGAAATAAATAACCTTTCATTGCAATCAGTGTGGGGATCTTCACTTAAATTATCGCCCCACAGATAGCTCACTCATGATCTGCTTCTATATCCATTAACTATCCGCGAAAGTGATTTATTGGTGAAGGGTAAGAAAAAGGGAATGAGGAGGAAAGCGAAGGAGTACGTTTGGTTAGACAATTGTGCCCTCTACTGTTGGTGAAGTGGATCACTTTAACAGACTGAAAACTGGTAACACCTTCAACAGTAATGTGATGGTTAAGTTTTGTCTTCTAACCTTAAAAAAAAGCTTTTGGATGCCTTTTTAAATATGGCCATCTTAAATTGGAACGACCAAACTGTTGAATGGACGTGTTAAATGCCTGCAGTCATTGAAGGAACCATTCAAGCAATAAAAAAGAAATCCAGAATAAAGCTCTCCAAAAAGAAAACCTTATATGCGCTGCAGTGTGGGCATAGACATTGTGCCCTCACTTTGTAGCAATTCATGCCAGGGCTCCTGTACCTAGTACCCCCCCACCCCACCCCTCCATCCACTCCTCCGCAGTCCCTCCTTCCCCACACTCCTGTGATGTGTCGTTACACGCTCGGCTGGCTCCTCTTCCATGACAGACTGTTACTTCCTGGAGCGGAAACGCATTTGATTGTTAACATCTGGGCCATTACAATTGCAAACTAGGGCTCTGTACATCAATCAGGAAGTGATTTCAAAACAAAGAGACCGTCCTCCAATCAATCTATTGGGAAGCGGGGGCATTACATGCTCCTGTAATCCCGGCTAATTAGCGGGATAATGGGAATGAGATTTATGAATCTGCTGAGGAGAGTGGAGGTACGAGGGCATACTCAAATTAGCAGGGATGCACGCCAGCCAGGGCTGCAATAAGGAGGATGTGCTGTTGGTTTTTATCAACTTCTTGCCGCTGGGCCACCTTTTGGCTCGGTGTCACTGTGAAGGGAGCATCTTGGGCTAATGTGCAGGCACGATGTGAGGCACTGATACAGTACATCAAATCTCTGTTTAAAAGAGATGAACTTTGTTAACATCCAACAGAGGAGCAGTTTCTGTTCTGTGCTTCTGTCAAACATCTGGTGTATCAAGAAAAAGGAGTAAACTCTACTAAATATAGGTAGAGCATTAAAATACTTTAAACGGCAAACACATTAGAGGAATTTGTATCTGTAGACATTTGGCTTTTGTTTGTTTCCAGTGGCTCCCAATAGTTTTGGACCCTGAAAACCCATTTCTAAGGGTTTTGTCCTCCTCTTTCCCATCCAACACATGCACCCTATACACCTCAAATGACACCATGCATATCTGTTCAAATCTATTTAAAGTGGACCTATCATGCTATATTTTAATAATATAGTGTAGGACCATACCTATATAAGGCATATTTATACTTTTAAAAAAACAAAAAACAAACAGATCATGTATTTTAGCCATGCCTAATTTCGCTCAATTTGCACTTTTTTAGCCCTGTTTTTGCAAGGGCAGATTCAGTGAGAACAGCACCATCTAGAGGCCTGGCATATGTACTACAGCGTCTCCAGCGCTTTCGAACGGCAATGGCCGTGGCTGTCTCCTCCTGATTGGTGGAGTTGGCCCAATAGCCGTGGCGCCACCGTCCTGACGTCAGGACAGTGTTCAAATCTGGATCAGTTTTTATCAGATCCGTTGCAGCCCCTTTTTTAGAGATTTGGGTATGGAGGAAAATAGAGAGGGTTGTGTTTTCTGACACTTGGTGAGTTCCCTGGAACACCGGGGACACATATTCATGTATAAAAGACGTACAAAAGTGCATTTTGCATGATAGGTCCCCTTTAAATTAACTTGATAATCAAAAAACACCAATGAAAAAATTCCAAATGTAAGAGCTAACATCAATAATGAGTACAGTAAATAAGGACTCAGCTGTTTTCTACTATTTAAATAGAATGATTTTAAAACAGATGGACACAACATTAGCCACAGATTGTGAAATCGACTATAGAAACAAGTGGCAAAAATCTGTCATTATTCAAATCTGTACTGTGCCATACAAGCACAACGTCCTGGGCTCGATTCCGGCCTTGGGTGCTCGTCATATCTTTAATTATCTTTATTCCTCTGTCAAATAAAGATGAAATTGCCCCCCCCCAAACAAGTTTACAATGTAGAAAATGGAAATGATACAAATATTGCAGCACTTTTTATTGTACCACACTTCGGAAACCACTGCTGTTGGTGTCATTCAGATATGAAGATATTATGATTTTGAATGACATGCAGTATCTGTAGCTTGTTGTCTGTGGTGCAATTTGTGTCTGACCTTAGAGTTTGGAGGTGTTTAGTCCTCATCTATTTCCCCTAAACTTTCACATCTTTCTCCAATCTATACATGGCAAAAGAGCGCAAAGACTCTTGCAATAATCCACACTTTTCCATTCACCCCTTTACCACACGGATTTGTAGACTCAGTGAATAAGGGGACGTGTGTGTACAACACTGCCTGCGTGTGAGGCAGTATTCCTGGAGGTGGCTGCCTCAGTGCCACCCTGAAGCCTCTTCCTCCCCAGCGGCCCCGGGCCTGACCTTGCCCGCTGGCGGGGGACATCTCCCATTAAAGCAGTGCATTGTGATAAGGCCATTTCTTTTCCTTCAGCATCCCTTTAATGTCATCCCTGAAATATGAAGTCATTAAGCGATATTAAAACAGTGCTGACAAACTAATTAACAGAAGACATTATACGGGATGGGCTCGATTAATCCGCTTTAATTGCTCTTTTAAATGGGGGCTCCAATTAAAATTAATAAAGATTTACTGGTGATCACACCAAACTACACCAAGAAGTGGTTGTCTGAAGGGCAGCCTAAAGTCAGCGGCCTCCATTCTCAAGTTGCACTCCCTATTGCTCCCTGCGCCCTCCCAGAGTGAGCCTGCCAAAAAAGCCTGTATCTATGAGCAGGAGATTAACCAGAGGGTCTGTCCCAGTGCCCCCGGTCCCCTGGCTGCTTTTGTCTCCAGCTCAGGGGTGTCTGATCCTGCCTTTGTCTTTCCAGGACCCTGCTAAGGAGACCATTTCCCATTAATTTCACAGCACACAAATACACTCACTGTACGCGATCAGCCTTAACCCACAAATATCTAAAATGCAATGTTTGAAATTATAACAAATTTCACAGTGGCTGTTTCCCTGAAGTCCTTGCTGTGAGGAAATAACTGAGCAGTGTTGAAGAATCCCTTAGCAGAGGATCAGTTTCTACACAGTGACAAGGGCACCCCTATGTGGACACTTTAGTACACAGAATATGATGAATATTGAATGGCCTAAAATACTGATTTATAGTGAAGATATACTTTATTGATCCTAAATTGGGATTTGTATTCGTTACAGCAGCATGCTAAAACAAGCCATTACACATAATTTGAAAATAAATAGAGTAGAAAATAAACAAATGTAAAATATAAACATCTCAAAATAATAAATATAGAATATAAAACAGAACCAAAAGGATATATATATACAAGTTGAACGTAAAAGATACAAATCTGTTGACTCTGGCAAATACACACTATGAATAGCCAAATTACAGCTAACACAATTTAAAAGCAGGATATTATTATTTATAATTATTAAATGACTTGTAAAAGAAAGCTTGTGATTGGCTATAATGTAAAACATATATATTCTTATGAACACTAAAGAAGACTGTGAGAGAGAGATGAGTGAATTATGTTTGAGGCGAGCTGTGCTGTGTGTATTACAGAAGAGATTCACTAGATGATGCTGTTACTCTTTTCTCTGCATCCATCTCCAAGAACTAAGAGACTGATTGAAATGCTCTTTATTTAGTCTCTTTCAGTGTGAGACTGAGAACACTACAGCTTTATTATCATCAGTATTTTTCATTATAAATGTGCCTTTTATATATTGAAAGCATAGCACAAAGACATCTCTTCCAACAGTGTTTGAATTCTGTGACGTCCTGTTGCCTTTTGCTTTTCATTTCCTCTTCATTACACAGAATGCCGCTTTTATCTGCGCCTCTCTAATACAGAACATAATTTCATATCGCACCGTTTAAGTTGAAGCCTTGTCAGCCAGAGGCAGTTAAACAAACTGAAGGTATTTTCTTTGTTTTCTTTCATTTTATCAGAGGTTACCAAGTCTTGTTCAGAAAATGTTACACAACAAATTAATTTGAGCGAAGCACTTTGGTTCAACCAGAGGCGTTTTAATTCAGTTGAGAATGTAAATCAATTTACTGAAGAAGAAGACGGATCTAATTGAAAAGAAATATCTATTAAAAGATTAGTGAGGTTTATTGTCTCCAGTCTTTGTCATCAACCAATTCAACTAATGTTTTAATTTCCTTAATGTTATCATTTTTGATGTAATTGGTGCTTGGGTGCCTAATTGGTTTTCCTATTAAATGTTGGGTTTTGCGCACTGACAATGTAATCTCACGCTGTGATAAGAAAAAGTGTAGTTTTATTAAAGTGGTCCTTTCTGTTGTGCAGCCTGCCTTTTATTTTTTTTAAAGGCACCTTGTTGCTTTAAAATGAATTGGCTGTAAACATACAATAATCTGTATGGATGTGCCAAATACTTCACTGTTATTCATTCAGAGTCAAATAAACAATTAGTTATGACATTTATTTATCCCATTGTATTCCCTGCTGTGGTTTATATTGAGCCCATGTCATCCAAAATAGCTCATCTGTGATTTTTGGGACATCACCATACTTGCATGTGCGTGTGCTTTTGCGTGTGTTTGCGGTCGCCGCCGTGCTTTGAGTCGGTGCCTGGAAGAAAAAGTCAACGGGTTTGTGGAATTTTGCTTTGGTGGCACAACTGATATGAGGTCACCTCGGGCGTTAGTCATTAGGAGGGAATGCATTGTGGCTGTTTTTAAGACATGGCAGTTGTCCGCATCCGCAGCGGCCGCACAATGAATGCAGGCCTTAGAAAGTTGACTTGAATTGGCTTCAGTGGACAATGTGAACGGCATAGTTTGGGGGACATTTAACAGCTGGCTGCTGGACGTGGATTAGAGGCACCTTAGGGGCTCGGCAGTGGCTCGCAGTATTGTCATAGGGAGAGTTCAACGTTTACAATTGAAAAACAAAGCATTTACCTGTGTGTGTGTCTCTCTTTAAAATATGTGCAATGAAAAGAATCACACAGTTTATATTCTATAATTTAGTGCATTTTTTATTTCAATAATCATCCAGTACATTGTCTGTGAATGAAATATCTGAAAATGATTGTACTTTACATGACCTTTTTATACATAATTAAACCAAAACAGCAGTATTTTCACATGCGCATTCTGTCAAAATAAAAGATAACAAAATAATGATAGAACAATATGCAACACTCAACTGTAGCACATGTACATTTACAAAACACACACAGCCAGGAATCAAAAGCAAACTAATACTGACGGTAATTGCCAAAAAAGTCTTCTAGGTCAGCTAAACAGGCTACTATATCGTTTTATAATATTGAAAAAGAATGAAAGCACTCTGTAAACATTTGTACACACCTACAAATTCCTTAAATGTGTTGAGGCAGATCATACAGAGTAAACACTAAACAATAGAATAAAGAGCCATCATATTTGTAGATTATTTCTTTTTTTTCTTTTTTTTAAACATACAGCATTACAGACTAAAGCTTATTAATATTTAAAATGATGTGTGTGTTTTTTTAAGATCTACAAAATTATTAATTATCCAACATCTACATTTCACCTCACTAAAATGCACTACAATAAAGGATGAAATAATACTGTCAGGTGACCAACTCCAATTTTTCCACTTTTCGAATCCCCCACTTCGGCCTATAAATAAGAAGATGTCTTGAACTCTTCCGGGACGTCGCTGTCCAGTTTACAGATCACCTTGTAGATGGCCTTTTTCCATGAGGGGTCTGAATCTTTGGCTGCGGAAATGGCACTGTAAAACTCATGCAAGGTAATCTCAGAAACCTCCATGAATCTGTCTGGGACCTGTAAAAGAGAGGAAATATATGTTGAATCAATCTGGTTAAATATTCTAATAATGAGAAAAGCACTTGAGCACTTGAGCATACTGAACAAGCTTTCTTCAGTGCTCTCAAAGTCCAAAACATATCAAATGAAGACCTGTAGTGCAATTCTTCAAACACTCAAACTGATGAAAGGCATTTGATCTCTTTGTTCTCTGCACACATACAATAAATGCAATGCTGCAATCGTTGGCTTTCATTTGGAGGCCTCTTTGATTAGCTAGTCTTGTTTTCTTGAACTGCATTGTGAGATCTCTATCCAGCGCTGTGAGAGCCAGTCAACAAAAGCATGATTTTAAATCCCATCAGAACTATGGTTGAAAATGAAGATTACAAATGTTTTCATTAGGTTAGATTTAGGGCTAAACTTGGGATAATTGTGTTTAATTAAGAATTATATGTGGTTTAAGTTGGTGTAACGACAGCAGGATAAAAAGCGCATCAACAATTGAAGTCTCGTTGCAAGGGATGCTGGGAGAAACCCGCCCCGCAGCCCATGTTTCCCATCCACTGACTAGTTATCACAACAGTTGGCATAAGTTATTTTTCTTTCCCCTCATCTCCCGACACAAAAGCATCCCTGGGAAAGGAATGTCTTGGTCCCAAGGTAAAGAAAACGGTCCCGTCCCTTTCCCACCGAACGGCCCTTCTCCCTCGGAATCCACAGCGTCTTTCTCAGCATTCCGCATCAGTAGCAATCTCAGTCTCGCTCAGGCGTACTGGTCCTCTAATCCTGAGTTGTTTTAGTGGGATTTTGCGGCTTCCTCTTCCCACAGTTTGATAAAGCATCTCTCTGGAGTTTAGATAATGGCTGTAAAGTCTGGCCAGCCACAGGTGCGGTGTGACACACAGGTCAAATAATACAGTATGTGACCACAGCTACATGCTGACAGGAGAGCATACCTCAGCAGGTACTAACCACTGGGATAAATGTGTCAACTACAAAGTGTTAAAGGAATAGTTGGACATTCTGGGAAATAAGCCTACTCACTTGCTGGTAAAGTTAGATTCATACCGTCAATAGATGTATGTCTGTTGAATATTAAGCAACAGCAAGCAGCCACTTAGCTTAGCTTAGCATAAAGCTGTAAACAGGGGGAAGCAGCTAGCCTCGCTATGTCTGTAGATACCAAGTAAGCACCCTTTGTTATAGCTTTTTGTTTTGTCTGTACAGAAACAACGATTCAACAATTTATATTTCATGTCAGTTTGTGAGTTTTTGACTTGCTGAAAGGTGGATGTTGTCGTCTTTCAGACATAGGCAAGCTAGCTGTTTACAGAGACATCATTACCCTTATATATATATCTGTAATATAAGACCAGGAGTGGGTGTGTTGTATTTTGTATCCTTCTAATAATTGGCAATGCAATTTTGTATGCCTTCAAAGCATCGCATTGATTGAATATTGAAATATAAATTATTATAACATATATCTTCCCTTATGTACTATACTGAATCCCATTACCACCATCACCCATTTAGCTGGGGGACATTAAACAAATATATGCTACCTCTTATCAGATGAAAGTTGACTGAAGAAAACCTTTATCCATCGCACAGAATACTTGCAGAATGAGAGCAGTACCTCTTTTAACCAAACTTTGAGTTAAAAATCAGACCTTGATGCAAACCATTGAAACCACAACATAAAGGAGAAATGACTAATGAGTGACACTTACGTGGAAGTCATTGGCTTTGTTGTAGTGCATGTTCAGCGCCCGGAACAGCTCCGAGTCCCTGCTAACCGTCATGTCTTTGATATCACTGATGCCGTCGACGATGGCCTGGCGGGCAAACTTCTCCATCTGGATGTAGTAGAACTCCCTGAAGTTACTGAACCATTTGATCAGCTGAGAGGTGATGCAGCGGTTGAACTGGAGATGAAGAGAGAAAATATGTCTCTTAATATCATTGATTAGTTTACAGCCGATTGACAACCGAAGCCTCTGCATCGACAATAAACTATCTGGCTAAAGTGTCCTTGAGCAAAACAATAAAACCCAACGAGTCCAGAAGTGCTTTTCTAACCTTTGATGTCTCAGTGAGGAAGCAAATGAAAGCAGAAATCATCCCTTTTTAGTGATAAATTAAAATTGTAATTTCAGAACTCCATTTAGACTTCATTGAGAGCATACAGAAATTAAAAAATATGAATCTCCATGCTTTTCAATTAAAAAATCAAATGGCCGTTTGACGCTTTGGTATTAACCACCCTTTCCATAATTGCCTGCACTGGTACCTGTAGGGCAAAATGGCACCAAATGGTCTGTCACTCTACGCAACATTAATTGCTCTGAGCTTTTCCCACCAATGGTGAAAAAACATCTGTCAGGGCTCTGTATTTCTAAACTCAGTCTTGACATTAGTCCTGTTATTCTATCTCCTCATCCAGAAAGACAGAAAAAAATGCCTAAGGGCTGGGCAGGCATCAAAGACGCTTCTTCTCTCTGGTGTGGTGGGTGAGAAAGCGGCAGCATAAGGACAGAAGGAAGCTTCCCTCTCATTGACTCGGGCTGATAGGATGGAATCAGACACTGGGATTAGGTGCTCTTTTGTTCAGTGCCACTTCCCACCACAGGATTGTAAGCAAGGAGGAGACGTTCGCAGGGCTGCAGCAACAGCATCCTCCCCCCTGACCCCGGGGGTCAGAGCAGATTGAGAGGCAGGGGCCCGCACTGGCTCAGAGATCCAGAGAGAGAAGATAGAGATAGAGAGGAGAAGGAACCGAAACTCCAGAGAAAATTGCAAGGCAGGCAGGAGAGGAGTTATGGGTGTAAGCTTGTAACATAAGCAGGAAGGATGCTCCGATTGGAAAAGAATGAAAAAGAAGGAAGCAGAGATAAATAGGATGAATGAGAAGAGTTAACAACAGGAGACAGATCAGGAGACAAGAGAGAAGACAAAAAGAGGAGATAGAGGAGGAGGCATGACACGAGCCCAAGGCCAAAACACACAGGATGTTGTGTTTAGGCCCAGCTCATCGCCGCCTGGGTGCTGCCGCACAAGTCTCTAATACCAACTCTCTGTTGACACTCAATAGCAATGCCTTGCCTACAGAGTCCTTTGTCACTCCATTTGCTGACTGGAGTGGCTTTTTTAAAGAGAGAATGCCCCTGTATCTCCCTCTGCCCCCAGGACATACTAGCAGCTCAGTGGCTTTGTTATTTAAACCCTCTGCGTTTTTGTTTCTCTCCTCCGACACACTGCTGATTTTTCTGTCCCAAACACACACTGACAAGTAGATACCGGGGAGTTTAACGCAGGACAAACAATCCTGCAGCTTGTTTGACACATTATAGTTCAAATGTAATTACCTTGACATCAGGGAAGAAGTTTTTCAGCACATTGGAGCTGGGGTAGCGGGTGTAGAAGAACATCAGCTTGGCCTTCTTCAGATGGCTCGGGGTGAGACCCTCCTGGATGTTCACATTAACGTTAAGGCAAAAAACCTGACAATTAAATACAACACAGCATGCAGTCCTATGCAAAGTGATAGCAGACCAGAGTATTGTGTTGCCTCAATCTTCAGCTAAATTGAATTTCCCTAAAGAACAGCTCGGCATTAACCAGGGAGTCAATAATGACCCTAACATGTGCTTATTGGCAAAACAGAATTACCAATTAGATTAGGGATTTTTAATTAGAGAGCGAAGCACTTCATGCCTGGCAGTAAAGACAGCTTGTTTTGAAATGTTTTGAAAAAAGAAGCCGATTTTCAGATATAATTAAGTTGATTTAAAAGACGACATATGGTGCTATATTTGTTTTACTTTGGAAAGAAACACACCACAAAAAGGGACATTTTTTAAACAAAATTTAAATTAGATGTAGTTCAAATTCAAATGTATTTATATAGCCCAATATCACAAATCACATTTAGTGTTTTAGTAGTATGTTTAATCAAATGTTTTTGAGTTTATGTGTTGGGCTTTAATTTTACATGTTTTGAATGGTAGAAAATGCAATATATATAAATATATACATTTCCTTTATTTCAATGATAAATAATTCAATATCTTCTCAAGTATACCCCCTATGGCAATGAAGATGGTCAGGAGCATATCCTCTGTAGTCCACCACCACCACGCCTTAGGACATAATATTTCCTTATCAGGTCACCACACCATACATTTATTAGGGGAACCCTTGCTTTGAAATACGGAAGTTAAGATGAAAGATTGATGTGGTATTGTTCAAAGAGAAGCAGAGCTCTTTGCTCTGTAAAGATAAAGCGAATCCTGACAGGCACTACATTATATTCCTCTCTTATGCCGTGCGACAAGAGAATCAACAACACTTCTCTGACTATTTTAAAATGATTTACTTTATAAAGAGGGATTGTAACGAAATTATGTATTTCTTAGGCAAAGGATAATGAAATGTAGATGTTACATTTCATCATTCATCATTTAGATTGTGGATGTCAGCAAACACATCATTACAAAAACAATAAACCCATTTTCCCTGAATTAAACATCTTATCCTAGATGGATTTTCTATGAGTTCCTATGAGGCTAAAAAAAACTGTTATCTTGCACTCTGTTTCAATCATGTACACTCTGACAAAGGTATCCAACAACAAATGCTCAAGACAAGAGCTCAAGTGTGGTGGTTGTGAGGCACTTTTGCTTTCCAGCAGCACTCAGATGTGACCTTTTAGATGCACCCCTATCACTCTGATGATGGAGAAATAGATCCTGCACCTTTTCAAGTCTGAAAAGACGACGCTTCCTGAAACAGAAACCGATGCTTTCTCTGCCTTTGAAAAATTGGCTTTTGTTCCTGGCAATTCTTATCAAAGCCTTGTATTCCTTTTTATTTGTCTTTTTCTAAACTTAAAGTCATTACTCTGCTCAGATTAAAGAAGATGCTGTAATTTTCTATGGGGTTAGCGAGATCAAAGAAAAAATTCTCCTTGAAGTTTGTTACTGGAACTGCCCATGCTGCAATGAACCTCAACCAGCCATTGTTCAAATGGAAGAGCTAACATATAGGGAGTTTGTATAAAATGAAGGAGGTAAATACAGTATGAGATAATAACACACATACCCTGCTGTATGGGGAATGGTACAGAATGATCTGGTGTTGTCAATTCTGTCAATTGTTTTAGAATTATTATTTATAATCAAATGTAATCATTCTAGAATATTTTTTTTGTATTCACCCAATACAATAACCGTTTTTTTAAAAGCCTACCTGCATTAAATATCTGAATTGTGTCTCTTTTTGTATCTATTGTCTCTTTTTTTTAATCATCATTATTACACAACAAAGCTCTAAATTCTGCATTTAAAAAAAATCAAAGCCGCTCTGGCTCCACATATTTATTTTAAATAAAAGGATATGTTGAGTGACATGTAGGGGTTTCGGTCGGCCATGCTCTGCAGTTCTCCGCACTCGATCTTGACGTGGGGGAGACACAGATTGTCGACCGTCACTGCCCCCAGGGCGGAGGCACGGGCGTGGTGGGCGAGGTGGCTGGACGTCACCTTGGACCTCATGGCGATGGCGTCCCAGGGCAGGTCCACGGAGTCTGGGGAGTTCCTGTCCATGGATGGAGCCATGCAGGGGTGACCCCCGAAACTGGAATGTGGCCCGTACTTAAGAAGATGCTCCAGGATCTGACTGTCGTGCAGAGGGGTGCTGTAGCTGAACTGAAATGGATTCTGGTGCATGGGGTAGGGCCTCTTCACTGTCGGGGTGACTGAGCTCAGAGGGGTCACGGGCGGCTTGCGGACCACCAGTGACAGTGCCTCCGTCTGGTCCGGTGGGCTGTGTGCCTCGGAGCTTTCATAATACTCCAAAGAGCAGGGCTTCACCGCAGCCTCCTCCGCCTGGGGCTGTTCCTGGGAGGAGCCGGCCTGCTGGCGCTTCCTGTCTGCACCTACGCCGATCTGCAGCTCTGGAGAGGAGCACATGCGCTGCTGAGGGGACAGATCCTGCCCTGTGGAGGACGCCTTCTTGAACACTCTGTCTACACAGTCATTCACAGCCCTGGAGAGCTCCTGCTTCAGGGTGTCCTGCAGGCTCCGACTCTCCCTCTGTTGCACCAGATAACCAACTACTTTCATTCTGTCCTTACACTCCGCAGTCACCCTGCTATTCTTCCTTTCAAAATCATCTTCAGTGCTTACATACCGTGACTCTGTGCTTTCATGCTCCACACCTTCTGTGTCATCTCTGTCGTTGTTTTCAGGGTCCTCCTGGTTGTAAACTTGCAGGAACTTTTCCTGGAGCTGGCGCAGCAGCCTCTGCATGCTGTGCAACTGCTCCTTCAGCTTGTGACACTCCTCATCCTTGTTGCAGTTATCACTATTGCTGCTGCTTCCGGGTCTTCTGTTTGCCGGCCCTCCAACACTGTGTTCCTGATGCTGAGGCAACCGCTGTTTACGTTTGTTCTCCCTGTATGCTTCTCTGGCCTCTCTGGTGTCTCTGGCGTCTGTGTCACACCTCTCGCTGTCTCCAGGCTGCCGGCTGTTGGGAGAGCCCGCCATGACCCTGATAATGTTCTCCACTCTGGCCCTCTTGGCCTGCAGGTGGTCAGCCATGGGATGCTCCACCTCCGTGCCGGCTCCTGTGGGAACATGAGCGCCGGGGGAGGCAGCTTCCACAGTGCTGTCTTTTGAGGATATGCTGCACTGGTCCTCCTGGCTGGAGTCAGCCGCAGCGGAGCCTGAAAGGTAGAAATGGCTTTCATCTAGTGCCCTCTTGTTGTGGATTGTCTTGCGAAGGAGTTGAGAGATGATGGATCCGCTGGAGTATGAGGCCAGAGGCTCGTCGTACATGTTTCTGCGGAAGCAAGGCAACATGACATCAGGTTTGTCGTCCTCGAGGCAGCCTTCACTGGAGTTGTGCATGGTCTGGTCGGGGAGACTGAGGTTCATGCTCGATGAGAAAAACTGTCTTCGGCTACACACGTTGCACAACCAGAGTTATTTAAAATGCAAGAATCTGAAAAGAGAGAAAAATAGAACATAGTAAAAATCATACATAATGAAAAAACATTTTAATATAAAATGTGCTTTAGCCATTCATTATTCTTAAATCCTGTATGTGCATTCTTATATTGTGTATTTTCTTTTACACTTTTAATAAAACAATCTTTGCATATACATTATTGCATGCCTATTTCTGAACAGTGACATTCAATTTAAACAGTAATGTCTCTTTACTCCTTGGATTCATAGCAAAAATAAAGTATATTCATTTGTTAAATTGTTTCAGGTAAATTAATCTATACACAACATTTACAGGTGATTCTGCTTGTTAGGAAATTTCACTTTTGTAACTTAAAATTACTACATTAACAAGCAAATGTAGAATTACTGTTATATATGATAGAAAGTCAATGAAGCCTACATTAATCGCAAGTAGCTCTGTTCTGTAAAAAAAAAAAAAAAAGACGCAGAAGAAATCCTTGATCTTGTGTAATAAGGGAGTGCTTTTTTTTGTATAATTTCATCTTGCGGTTGTAATAATGGATAACGCAAAGGATAAAAAGAACGACTGTCTGATACCCATGAAAGGTAAATTATAGCCTCTGATAGCAATAGACCACGCACAACAAACGGCTCTATGTATATATTATTTCAAAAAGAAAGTACCATGAAAACCGCTTTATATTTTTCTGGTTCTCATCTTAAAGAATGATCAAGAAATTATTCTCAATGGTAAATATATAAAAAGCTCAATTTACAGATTCTATAATAACTAACTTCATTCCCTTTTTATGTTTATTTTATAATATGTTCTGTGCTGTAGCTCACAGCATGGCATGTAAAACGAATTCAATACTTAAATGAAACGTATGGACTTGAAACGGATATTCTACATTTTTTTACTAGACGATAGATCCGTCCTTGTGTTTCTTTTTCTTACTTTGACATAATTAAGCATTCTTTCAGAAAGATCAAACTCTGTTTTGTAACTCAGTTACCCCTCATAGCAAAGTTTGAGAGGATTTAATTGTCCTACAATTTGTAGACAGCATTTCAAAGTCCTTTACTTTTTACAGTTTGACATTTCCTGAAATATAGCAGGCAGACCTGTTTGTGGATAAACTCATTTGTATATGAAGCAACACATAATCTCAATTAAAAAAATATATATATATATTTTAGTTATAAAAACTCAAACATTTCAACAGTCAATAAACACTTCATAATCCAATAAAAAAAAACTCACCAATCATATGATTATAATTTCTGTTGTCCTGTAAAAGCATGCATGAGTTTTTCTAAAGCACTTTTCATTAAAAAAAAAAAGTCAAGCTGAAGTGATGAGACAGGAGGCGGGTGAGCTGCAGGCATGCACTGTGTCACAGGCTGCAGTTTCCCCACGGTGCACAGAGACAGAGCGGCTGTGATGGGACCTTACCTGTTGCCGGGACGTGCTGCCGAGCTGATGGCCTGCGCACACTGGGCTGTGGACAGTAGGAGTGCAGGAGAGGCATCACGCAGCTGGGGCGTGGCCATGTGAAAGCAAATCACCCACATAATGTCAAGAGAAGGACATTATTATTAGTGAGGTGTTGGAGGAATAGGTGGGTGAAGCCTATTTATTGTCAATTTGGAAACATGCACAAGAAGGGAAAAAGTTTAAATATTCATCTAAGACTGGAAAATGTAGATGTTGGCCTACTTAAATAAATAAAAGACGTCTCTATTGCTATCCTTTAATCTCTCAATAATTGTATTTATCTCAAAAGGGCAATTTTTGGACCGTGCATTTACGAAAAACAAACAAACAAAGCAGTCGTAAACTCAAAGAATAAATAAGTGAAAACAAAGTATACACTTGAAATTAGAGACATTATGCTAATATAAATCATAACCCTCTATAGACTTACCTTACCTTTTCGCTATTCTATTCTATAAAATCATGTTTTCTTATACTTACCCGTATGCATTGTCCTATATCATTTAAATATTATCATATATATTTTCTATTATAGTCTCTATATTTACGTTGTTACATGTAGGCTGTCTCTGTAAAGGTAGTTGTAAGAGTACCGTATTTACACTTTGTAGATACTGTGTGGCCAGCAGACAGGCCTACAGTGGGGGTCAGAGGGGACCACTAAACTCCAGCCTGCCCCCCTCTCGGAGCACTTGGTTTATCCCTCACCACTTCCTCGCTTTTTTGCGCGTCCGGCTTGTCCGTGTTACCGGAGTTCCCTTCCGCTGACAGGCTGCTGTCACACAGCCATCATGTTATCCCATTCCCGGTGTCTCACCAGGAATTTTGGCCGTTCCCTGTCTGCCATCCGCCAGGTAGGCAACACGCAAGTAACCTGTTGTCGTTGCCTCTCTGGGCAGGACTCCTCGCTGTCTCTGTAGTGTGTTCAGAGCTAGCATACATTAGCTGCAGGCCACGGTCATGCTGTAACATTGTAAGCCAAGGACAGTTTAACATTTCCCTGCACAACTCTGTATCGTTGTCTGTATTAAAGTGTAAAGCAGTGTCCTCTGTGTTGTGTTTGTCTCGAATTCACATTAATGTTAAAGGTGTTACACAGAGAGTAAAGTGTCCATCTTTAGTTACACAAGTTATCCAATATTGTTTTGGTAGCTAGCAAGAACATGCTAGCCGCGCTAAGCTAAATACACGGGTAGGTTAGCTAGGTCCTAGCTATCATGCTGAGGTCATAGTGTGATTATTGAGAGAAAACCACGCCCCTTTTAGTTAACTTTATTAAGTGTTGTGTTAATGTTTTATTCCTTTGATTTAGCTTTCTGTCGCTGCATGTAAGCAAAGTCAAATGTCTGAAAGTCCAGCTTGTCAGTAAGATAAGTAGTATAACATTAGGCTTTAAGGCAACTGTTCAAGTAGCCTGTTAACATATTTATTCATTTGCTGCTGCAGTTCTTATGCAATACCACAAAGCTACCCGTTTGCCTAAAACATGTATTGATTGTGTCAAAGGTCACGCGTAGAAATAACCTTTGACCGACAGCACTGACTTATCTTGCTTAGGTTTAATCCTTTGTTGGCACTTAAGTTCAATCTCAACTGTTATCACTGTTAGACATAAGGGGCAAGTTATTGATCTTGATGTCAGTGCTTCAATGTTCCAGACATTGTTGAGTTGTCTTTTCTGCACAATCTCCTAAAAAAGTTGCAAATGTTTTTTACATCCTAACTGTGTTTTGTCACAGGGGAATAATGGACTTGCACGTCGGGCCACGGCAGGTATGTTTGGTTACTGTTCAAGCGATATGTCTTAAATGCCAATCTTTGATTTTGGATAGTCCTGCTGCAAGAAGTTAATAACACTTCTCCTTGTCCATTCTCTTACAGCTCTATCAGCTAGCCATTCTATCACTCTGAACAACAATGTGTAAGTAACACAAGTACATTTACTGACAGAATTTAAGTAAAACATTCACACTGTAGATGTTTCCAAGTAAAACAAATGGTTTAGTTTTGGGGATCGCTATTAATTGTTATAATTTTGAATTCATTTATTTTGTTTCTCTCCAGAAAATCTGATCCTCGTTCCAGCGTCTTCCAAATCCAGTACTTCAGGACGTCTGTAGCACACAGTATGTTTCGAGCCAAATGCTTTTTATTCATACACTTATCTGAATCACTACTACTGATGTGAGGAGTAAATAAATGCATCTCCTATGACTTGTTTTTGTTCTATAGGAGAGGAAGTTATCACAGTCAATACTCCTGCGTTTGCTGAATCTGTCACAGAGGGAGACGTAAGGTGGGAAAAAGGTAACTTTATTTTAATTGTATTTGCACACACGAATAGCTTCCGACACTGTAAAGAATAATAGGAACATATACTGGATGGATGGATACATAGACTAACTAACCAAAAGTTAGTCAATCTGCACTCAGTACCTAAAATAGAGCCTTCTTCTTACAGCTGTTGGAGACACCGTTGCCGAGGATGAGGTGGTGTGTGAAATTGAGACTGATAAGGTAAACTAAGTAAATGTTTTATGAATTTTTGATTGTTCGGTTATGCCTTCAAATGTAAAGGCCATCATTGTTTTGGCACATAAATAGTTAAAGTATTGGGGCACGTAGTTTTTTTCTCCCAAAATAACAAATACAAAATCATGTTTGTTGGAGATTATTTCTAAAGTGTTTCATTTTTCTCCTGACTGAATATGAGAATTACGCGAGAATAAAACCATACGGTCATTATTTTGGCAACAAATGTAGGCTATTTTGAAAATGTATAGAACTTTTTCATGTCTTATTTAAACCTATGATGATCTCTTTTATGTGTTCCCCTTCCATTAGACATCAGTGCAGGTTCCCTCTCCTGCTGCTGGGGTGATCCTGGAGCTTTTGGTCCCTGATGGAGGGAAAGTCGAGGGAGGAAATGCACTCTTCACGCTTCGAAAAGGAGGTCCGTGTATTGTCATTTTATAAAAAAAAGTACACAGTGCTGATATAAAAAGTATTACCAAGACAAAAATGTAAAGTCTGTCTCAAACTAACGGTTCGCTTCTGTCTTTAGCTGGTCCTCCCAAAGCTGCAGAAGCCCCAAAAGCTGAGGCCCCGGCCGCCGCCACCCCTCCACCACCTTCTGCTGCCCCCCCTCCTCCCCCCTCAGCTGTGGGCCCCATTCCCACCACTATGCCCCCTGTGCCACCTGTGCCAGCACATGCTATGGCCACCAAACCAGGTTAGTCGTCATGAGACAGACGGTCCGTGTCATGTGAGAACCGTTTTACTTGACATCTGTGCTCTTGACCTCTAGCTTACTTGATTACTCATCGTCGGCAGTGGCTTTCACCAGTGCCACTAAACCGATGTCTGGAGATTCTAAAGGCGTATTTCTGTCTTTCTCACAGTTTCAGCCATCAAGCCCACTGCTCCTGCTGCACCGGCGGCTCAAGCTGAGGGGGCGACTAAAGGAGCCAGGACAGAGAGCAGGGTAAAGTGCAAAGATCTCTACAAACACCTAAATAACATTAAGCGGTATCTGATGATAGAGTTTGTGAAATGGATCAGTATAGTAGTGCAAGAGTTGAGAACTGAATTTGAAATGTTTTGTTTTAGGTTAAGATGAACCGCATGCGACTGAGAATTGCCCAGAGACTGAAGGAAGCCCAAAACACCTGCGCTATGTTGACTACGTTTAATGAGGTCGACATGAGGTAGGAAACTCTATTAGTTGACCTACATTATAAAGCCATCAGTGGGGTTTTTTAGAAATGTTTTCCTGTGTTAACATGAAAACTGAAGCCATTGAGGGCAAAAGACAGTGTCTAAATCTGCTTATAAATGAGCATGTTTGTAAGTGTGCCTGTGTGCAGTACACAGGATACACACTGCCTGTTAAAAGCCAAAACAACACTTGCACAAATGGTTATAGATTGGAATCTGCCCAATAGGAAAAGCTTTTTGAAACCCGATATCCTCTTAAACGCTGGAATGTAAATATTTGGTCGTAATGCCATCTAAAACGAAGATAAGAATTGTTAAAACCGGTTTTATTAATTTACAAGGAAATGTTATTGTCTGCACTTGCCCCCTGTGCTGAAGAGGACACTTTGAGGATTTCTTTTCCCCACAAATGTGCGGTGTCAGCTTTCAGCTATTCAGGGTTTTCTATGTATCCTAATTAGATTGACATTGACGGTCTGGAGGAAGACTTCCCATGCTAGGGCTCATCTGGAGCCGAAGGAGCTAGTCAGAGCAGGAGGCTGGAGCATCTGTAGGGGCCCACAGAGACCTGCGCTCTGAGTGGAAGAGCGGCCTCAACCGATATGGGCTTTTATGACAGCCCAATAAGATTTACAGGCCCTAGAAAGTGAAGATTTTTATCGCTTCTTCTCTCCTTTCTCGGAGAGTCTGTGTCTTGGGAGGGGCTAATTATGTTAGCGGAGAAACCCTAGAGCTTCAACAGGGTTAGAGACAGGAAAACAAACAATTAAAAAGAGAGATACACGAGAAAAATGAGCAATGATGAAACGATTAGAGGGCCAATTTCAATAGCTTTAATTCACCACTATCTGCAACAGCATTTTTTTATAGCCACAAAAAGGCATTGTTTGTTTT